TGTGCCAATCTCACTGTCTCTGAAACACTCTTCCCTATTACCCCAGTCACTGAATCAATTCACCTCATAGAGGGTCTTCCTCTCCTGCACTGTCATTCCACCCTCTCAAGCATGACATCCCTCTCCAAGGATTGGTCCCTCCTTGCAACATACCCAAAGCATATCAGACAAAGCTTCAGAATCTTTGCCTCCAAGGAGCAGCCTGGTTTAACGGTCTAGGACGAACCTGTTCATTTTCTTAGCAGTCCATGATATACTCTTCTTGATATATAGTCATGATATACTCTTCTCCAACACCACAGCTCAAAGGCATCAATTCTCCTACTATCATCCCTAGTCATTGTCCAGCTCTCTGATGGACAATGTCCAGCAAGTGATTGCAAAGACTACAGCCTATATCAGGTGCACCTTAGTCTCAGAGTGACATCATTACTCTTCAGGTCTTTGGAGAGGTCTTTTGCAGACTTTCCCACCACAATACTTCTTTTGATTTTCTGGCTGCTGGTGCTCATAGTGTTGACTGTACAGCCAAACAAACTAAAGCTGTTGACAGTCTCAGTCTCTTTACCATCCATCATGATGCTGCCAATTGGCTGAGTGGTGAGAATCTTTGTTTTCTTGATATTGAGCCTCAATTCATATTGAAGGCTGCAGTTCTTGATCTTCTGCAGCAAGCAATTCAGGTCCTCCTCAGTTTGAACAATCAGGGTTGTGTCATCTGCATAACACAGATTGTTATTCGATCTTACTCCAATCCTGATGCCACATTTCTCCTCATTAGAGCCCCGCTTCCCGGATACTCTGTTTTACATATAGATTAAAAAAGTGTGGAGACAGGACACATCCCTGGCATATACCCTTCCCAATTTTGAACCATGCAGTTTTTCCTTGCTCTGTTCTGATGACTGCCTTCTGGTACAAACACAGGTTTTTGCATTAGCATAATTAAGTTGTAAGAATTAGATCTGAAAAGTAGCTTTTCCATCTTACTGTGTGACCATGGCCAGGTAACCATGTTGGCCTCTTTCTTCGTTTCCCAAGTTATTATGATAACAATGGTGCAAGTAAGCTGCTTACCCGAGAGCTATCATCAAGAAGCATTTTATAAATGGCAACTGATGAAAGTGGAGGGAGCTATGGTGAACTAGTGATAAGGAGCTGCTCTGCCAATCCAAAGGCACATGGTTTGAATCCACTAGGTGCTCTGAGAGAGAGCTAGGACAGGAGCTGGCAAGGGGAGGTGACAGCTGGGATCAATGAGTGACACGAGGGGAAAGGCTACTGCACATGTATGAAATACTGCAGGTTCAGTTCTGGGTCACCACAACAGAGCAAACATTGCTATAAAGCAGATCACAGGACTTTGGGTTTCCCAGTGCCTATAAAGGTTATATATGCACTACATTGTAATAGGGAAGAAAGTTAGCAGTATTCTCCTGTTAAGATTTACAGTCTAATAAACCCCATGGAGGGTCACTATGAATACTGGACAGCAGTGAGTGAGTCGTCCATCAAGTGTGCGATAGCATTATTGAAGAGTTTGAAACATTACAGGAATTATCAAAACTTGACACAAAGATATGAAGTGAATACATACTAAGTTACATGCTCCATGCAATGTACCCACAAACTTCCAGTCTGTAAGAATACATGCTATCTGCAATAAAACAAGGTGTGCCTATGTTTGTGAAAGAAATAGTCTGTGGATGCTGATTGCAGGAGCAAAGACCCCTGTGTACATCTGTGCTACAGCTACCTGGTGACAAAGTCCAATTTTGCTAGTTTGTGATCGTTGGTAATGCAGCATTCTCTGCACTCCAGCCATAAACCCTCAGCTGCTGTCATGTGGCCACTCACCCACTCACTAGCAGGAGCCCGTGCTGTCTGCTGGAACACAGCTTCCTTTGCTTCTAGACTTTGACCCTGTCCCACTCCTTTCTGACAGCTCCTTGCACTTAGGTTAAATAAATTTAATTGCTTGCTCTGGTGGTGTAATTGGTAAGAGCTGCATTGTGAACTCAAAGGCCAATTCTTTCTGGCAAGTTGAATTCACCAGCTATACTCCATGGAGAGAAATGGGCAATCACCTCCATTAAATTTACAGTCTTGAAACCCACTGCAAGACCAGCTATGAATCCATTCCAACTTGACAATTAGTTTGTGTGCATGTATGTCTCCACATCCTTCTAACAGTCTTGTTCATCTGCCTCAAATGTTCCGTTTCCCTTTAACTTGAGTGACTAGAGTTGCCATCTAACTTAGGCTGTTTACCCCCAACAGAGGCCCTCTCCCTCCTTAGTGCCCAACACTAGCAGTTCTGAATGCCCTTCATCTACCTTCTACAGCTCGAGGTACCACTTTTTGCCCTTCTCTGTGTCTTTTACAATCATTGCCTTTTGTGTTTTTGCAGACATCATCATGAGGCCCAGCTGTGCTACTGGATGGTTTTTCCACAAGTCCAATTGCTATGGATACTTCCGGAAGCTGAGGACTTGGTCGGATGCTGAAGTAAGAAATCCAATGTGGGGTTAGCTGGTCTAATTCAGGAACCAAGGTCCTTCCTTGCCACTGTGAGGAGAAGACACCAATCTGGTGACTGGAGAGAAGATGGCTGTGAGGCAGCATTTGTAAGCATTACCGGAGCAGAAGTGTCTCTGTTGCCTAGTGATGTTATAGCAGAAATCCCACAAGTAGGTAGTTTGAACAAACAGAAGTGAATTATCTCAGTTTAGTAGGTAAGCTTGAAGTATAAATTGAGGGGTCTGGATCTATAGGAAGTTTTTCTCTCTGTGCCATCTCTGGGGGAAAGTCTTTACCTTTTTACATCTTGTCCTTTGGTTTCTTGAGTCTCAAGAGGTGTGACATCTAGCTTTCCACACTGATGTTCCTTTACTGGGTTACCTGCTCAATCAGCTACATTTGTATCTCAAAAGCAATTGGCTTAAAATGCACCCTACACTAATATGGCTCCATTAACTAAGGAAACTACCCAGTAAGGGTATAACTACCAGTAGAAGAGCAAGATTTGCAAGACATATTTTGGAGGAGGCAGATCAGATAATCTCCAGGGACAAATGACTAAGAAATAGTCACTGCCCTCAAGGAATTCACTTGTCAATAAGGAGGATAGAAAAACCTAAGTCCAAGGAGGCTAAGAAGATGAGGAATGAACAGAAAGAATAACTGAATTTCTGTATAGGATTTACCTGCCAGAAAATATTGTATATCCAGAGCCAGAACCTAGCCTCAGAGCCACCTGACAGAGTCCAAATACTGCAGGATCCACTGCTTGGCACAACCCTGCAGTATTTGCATAGTCAATGAAACACAGATAAACATTCCTCTGGTACTCTCTGCTTTCAGCCCAGATCCATCTAACATTAGCTATCATATCCCTAGTACCACAGCCTCTTCTAAACCCAGCCTGCACATCTGGCAGTTCTCTGTTGATGTGCTGTTCCAGTCGTTTTTGGACAATTTCAGCAGAATCTTGCTTGCATGTGATGTTACACAGTGACTGTAATAACGGGGTTGAAATGTGTCAGAGATGGTAAAGATGGCATAGGATAGGGCAGGGTTCAAATCTGTTATTCATAGGGTTGCTATGAGTTGCAGTAAACTAGAGATAATAACAGCAACCCATATTGACAGCGAGGCTTCTGTGTAGTTTCAATCACAATTTCTGGAGGGAGGTGGGGTCCATGTGAGTTGAGTTCCAAGATAAGGACTGTCTGTGCTTTTAAACCACTGAGTGTCATTGACAGACATTTCCCTTACTTTCAGCTCGAGTGTCAGTCCTATGGAAATGGAGCCCACCTGGCATCTATCCTAAATTTAAAGGAAGCCAGCGCCATAGCAAGATACATAAGTGGTTATCAAGTAAACCAGCCCGTATGGATTGGTCTGCATGACCCACAGAAGGTAAGCTCAGACCTTGCCAGCACACAGGCTCTTGGGGAAATCAGTAGATCGATCAAACAGGGGAGACCTGGTGTCTCACTGTCTTGGAAGTGGCCTCATGGCTTACAGAGTAGACCTGGTGACAAGGGGCACGAGTAGAGGATTTTCTCCAGTTCTTTTGTCATCTGATAGAGGCCTAGACTTCAAAGCCAGAGGCCCAGTTCAGGCCGTCAGTGGAGGGTATGATTTAAATGGCAGCTATAGACTGAGAAATAAAAACATAGATAGATATAGAGGTAGAGGGTTATGTAAAAGATATAGGCCTCTCCCTACCTCCCCTCCCTTCCCCTCCCCTCTTCTCCCCGCTCTCCCTTCCCCGCCTCATTGCCGTCCAGTTGGAACTGACATAACTTGTCAGAGGCTGAAACTCGCACAGAAGAATGATCATCTTACTCTCTTGCAGCACTTGGTGGATTTGAACCACCTGTCTTGGAGTTGGCAGCACAACTCCTTACCTATTAGGCCACTAGAACTAATTTTTAATTAATTAATTTTTTTATTTGAGTAAAAGTTTACAAATTATGTCAGTTTTTTCCATACACACATTTATAGGCATTTTGTTTTATAACCGTAATTACCATTGATTAATGTTATTCATTAATTATAATTAACCCTGAAGGGACTGTAAGCACATAGGCTAGCTAATGTGTGCATTAATTCCACCTCTTTTCATTTGCAGAGAAAACAGTGGCAGTGGATTGATGGGGCTTTGTATTTATACCGAACTTGGACTGGCAGGTCTATAGGTGGGAACAAGTACTGTGCTGAGATGAGTTCCAGTCACAGTAAGTTCTAATGCATCACCACTTACCAAAATCCATTGCTGTCCTAATAATGATGCTAAGTTGTTGTTATTGTTGTGTACTGTCAAGTCAGAACTGACCCATAGCTGACTGCCCGGCAGGTTTTCAGAGGCAGTTAATTGCACTTGGAGGAATTGCCCATCTTTATCCTGTGCAGGAGCTGGTGGCCTTGAACTGTGTGCCTTTGGGATTGCAGAACAACTTCTTGCCACGAGGCCACCAGAGCTCATTACAGGTAGAAACTATTGAAATGCATATTTCTACCAGAAATAAGGAAACTATTCTGAACAATTGGCATTATCTAAAAATGTAATGGGCTACCTATCTCTCTGGTGGATATTCCAAAGGGAATTGGATTACTGTCAACCTAAAGATAGCCGTTTGAATTATCCAGCAGTTTTGTGAGAGAAAAAAAAAGGCAATTTCCTCCCATGCAATTTACAGTCTCGAAACACCACTGGACAGTCAGCCTATGAGTTGGCTTTATGAGCTAACCAAACGAAAAGTGAACAATGACTCTATTGTCATTGAAGCATTAAAAGTTTTCAAAGAGATGCTCAAGGGAACATGAATATAAGCTGAGAAACCTTTTTTAAGTTTAGATTTCAACGATTCTTTTCAGACTTAATACATGAATCACAGGGTGAACACTGACCAGATTTTGGGAAGCAATACATCACATATCTCCTAAAGAACCTACCAACCCATGATTCTGAGATATGGGGGGAAATCCCACACAAAAATCTTTCCCCGCCAGCTCATGTCAATGCAGCCAGGTTCTAAATGCAATCATGGAGTTGTACACACCTGTTTTTGTACAACTTGGGAGCATTAAGTCTAATTTTCCTATAAAGGCATCACAGTACTTGGATGCCTCTACTTTTCCATATTTAATCAGTTCAGTGCTTAGTTGTCAGATGCAGGCTCTTAACATAGCAAACTGCATAAAATGAAGTATCCTTTCAACTATTTGGTGTTAAAGAAGAGAACGAAAGGGCAGAAACTGCTATTTCCCCAGGTTTATTTTGTTCACAATGTGTGAGCTGATTTGATTTACTGCTTTTAGCTAACAATCAGCTGTGGGCTGGAAGCCTCTTGTTTAAGTCAATCTGGACCTGGTATATTTAAAAGTCAGTTGGGCCCAAGGGCCTGTGGCCCTCAGGGCTGGTGTTAATTGTGTTTGGGAAGAAAATTCTCCTAATTGGTACAGCACTGGTCAGTTTGCCATGCTGAGGTAACTTGGGGTTGCTGTGATGCCCCTGGTGTGTCAAATGCCATAATGGTTACCCATTGTGGACAGTGTTTTGGGGATCTCCCAGATTAAGACAGACTTAGAAGCAGAATTGGCATTCACTTCCTAAACAACATGCCTTTTGAAACTCTATGAGCATTAGAGAAACAAGGATAGTTATAGAACAGGATTCAGATCTTTTGTTCATAGGGTCAAGTAGTGCTCAACTCAACAGCACTTAACAACAACCAATAACAACAGTGCCTGAAGGGATCTTGGTTGCTCAGTGCTGATGTTCTAGCTTATCTCTAGTCTCAGTGGGTGAGAAGCTCAATGAGACTCACTAATGACAATCTCAGTTCATAATAGCAACTCTAAACAACAGTGTCCTCAGATCAGACTCAACCAGTACTTAGACCAGAGTCTAGTCGTTACTGACCTCATACCAGGTGTTCTTTGTCCTGGAATGATAGTTCCCAGAAAGCTTGAAATCCTCATGTCCTTACCCTTTGTAACCCCTGCTCTGGGTCCCATAGATATGAACATGAACAGCACCCACCCTACCTCCTGAGAACTAGGAGCTTTGGGAGGCTCTCTTAACCCCTTTTGTCTGCCTGTACCACCTTCCCACCAACCCATGGTCTCATCCTATCCCCCCCATACACACACGCTGCACCAGGGTCAGCTGTGGAGAAAAGGCCATGTAGACCTCTAACTGGGAAACAACTTGTGACTCTGCTGCAGACACCCCTGGGTCACAGGTGATTTTGTGCAACTTGGTTTCTGAGAGAGAACCTAGAAGATGTCACCATCTCTTTTAGTCAACATTCTCTATGGTGAATAAAGTGGAAGAAGGGGCACCTCTGAGCAAACTCTAGCTCAGAGCTTCTGAGTCTTTGAGGCACCTCTTAGACCTTTTGTTCTCAGCGGTGGGCTTTAAGAAAGCACCGTCAAATCTTCACAGCATCCTTCCTGCTTGATACACCAAAAAATTTCTTATTTCCTGTCATTTCTCATAAAGCTGTGCCTTCCCTCCAAAGTGGTACTGCTGTCGAGTTTTGGCAACCATGTGGGAAGTCTAAATTCTTTTCTCCTGTTGACTAAGTTAACACATACTTTATCTACTGCTCCAAGCAGAAGATCCTTAAAACTTTGGTAAATTCAACATGGAGCCAGGTGGACTTACATGTCTGTTTATTTTCTTATAGATTTCTCAACTTGGAACAACAATGAATGCAGCAAGCGCCAGCACTTCCTGTGCAAGTACAAACCGTAGAGCAAGACTCCAGATCCAGCCAACCCTTGCATAAGCCCCAGCCTCCTTCTCCTGCTCTGTCAGCTAAATCTCTTCATTCTTTGATAGACTAAAAGCAGCAAATAAAGCTGATAATAAATTTCCTAATGAAATTACTTTTTTGGCTTAGAGACAAGAGACCTCAGCACGGGTACAGCAGTGGCTTCTAGATCTCAATGGCCTTCCCACAATTTCTTCTTATTGTACTATTTATTCCTCCTTTCTTTCTCTGGCGAGCAAGCCATGTTCATCCTTAATGAATGGAAGAACTAGGTTTTTAGCCACAGAAGTTGCAAGTTTGGAATCAGGAAAAAGAAGCCTGGGCATGAACTGCCTTCAGCTCCTGTGCCCCCTGCTCTCTTTTCTTACCTACTTCCTCCCTCTGGGCCCTCTGCTAATTTCTCCTTTGCAACAGAGACCTTTATGTTCCCAGTGCTTATAGTTCCTTGGTATCCTCAAAAAACTTAAAATAAAGAGAGTGTTTCTTGTTGTTGTAAGGTGCCCTCAAGTTGACTCCAATTCCTCGTGACTCTATAAACAACAGATTGGAACCTGGCCCGCTCCTGCACCATCTTCATGGTCTCTGCCATGATCAAGCCCATTGGATGTAGTCACCATGTCTATCCTTATTGTTGAGAGTTTTCCTCTCTTTAACTGACTCTCTGCTTTTCCAAACATGATGTTTAGAGATCTTAAAAAAAAACACACACACAAACAACAAAACACAAAACCCCATCAAAACAAATTGTTGGGACAAAACTAAAAACTAAGCTTTTCCTCAAAAAAGTAGAGGTTATACATAGTTGCATTTCTCTTCAAAAATTGCTTCTAGAGTTCCTCCTCATCTGGAGTGTGTAATAAGTTGCCAGATCATCTTTCAATAGAGGTTGTGTATGTAGAAAATGATCTGTCAATGGGAGTGGGGGAGGGAAAGTGAAATTTAGATTTACAAACACATACTCAAATGTTTCTTCACATCCTTTCTCCTAACCTTTGCTTTTTATCTCTTCAAAGTATCTCCTTCCAAGCTACAGCCCAGATTTGAGTAGGGAGATTCTCTGAGCACAAATGAATGGGTTGCTTTAGTGAAACCTAGAATCTTTGTTTTCTACATGGATTATGTCAGGGTTGGGAGGAAAATGCACATTTTATATCATAATTGAAAGCAACATATAATAAATGAGGAATGATATTCAGCAAAATAAAGCACATTGGACTATAATTGTAACAGACTTTATAGCTTTTCTACTTGGGTGTTATAAAGAAAAGCAAATAAAACTCATTTCTAAATTGTGTTTGATTATACTCTTTCAGATTCTAGAAAAAAAAAGTAATGCTTTATGTGGAGAGCATTTCAATGAGTCCTCTAGGGTAGAACTAATTTCGTATTACATAAAGTGCTTTTATTATTGCTATCTTCAAATGAGTCCATAAAATCTCACACTCTTTGCCTTTGGCCTGGACCTGACTCATAGCTGGCCCTCCACTGGGTGTCTGAGGCTATAAATCATGTGGAAGGTGACTGCCCTTCTTTCTCTTGAGGAGCTGCTCATGGATTTGAACCTTCAGAGAGATGTTGTCTTTGGGTTGGCAGTGCAGTTCCTTACAGACTGGACCGCCTGAGCTCCTAGTTCATCTACGAATAATCAAAAATGAAAATTTACCAGTTTCAAAATACACATATTTATATCAATAGTTTTTGCTGTTAGCTGCCTTTGGGTTGGTACCCAAGTCCTCATGACCCTATGTATAATGGACCAAAACCCTGCTCAGTTCTGTGCCATCCTGGACTATCTGTGGATCAGATCAATGTGTTGTGCAGGGTTTTCACTGGCTAATTTCCAGAACTCGATCTCTGAGTCTTTTTGTTCTGTTTTAGTCTGGAAGGTCTTCTAAAACGTGTTTGGCATCCCGGGCACTCACACGCCTCCACTGATGGACAGCTGGTGGCTGCACATGAGGTGCTGGGAATGGAATCCAGGTCTTCTGCTTGTCCTCGTTGTTGTTGGCTGCCATTGAATCATACGGTGATCCCATGTGACAGAACAACTCTGTCCCATAAGGTTGTCTTGACTGTCATCATATGGAAAGAGATCGCCAAGCTTTTCATTGCGGAACATCTGGGTTCAAATTGCCAAACATTTAGTCAATGCCGCTGAACCTCCATTTCTCCTGATCAATGGTCATGACTGTGAAAAGGCTTTTTGGCATCTTCAACAAGTTTCGCAAGTGAAAAGGGATTTGATGTCAAACCACACTTGCTTCCATCCAGTTGGTATGGTTCCAAATTAAACTCATAACAACCCTCCACTGGGTTTCTGCAGAGGTAAATATTTAGGGGAAGAGATTGTTCATCTTTGTCCCGTGGAACCACTGATGCATTCGCGATTTCAAACTGCCAACTTCTGGGTTAGCAGCCAGCTACGTTGCATAGTATGCCTCTAGGAGTTCTTGAAAAGGGGTTTAGTCTTCTAAAAATAGTAATCTTTTAGGAGAAAAGGAATACTTTCCTTGACCAATAAAAGTGCATGCACAGTTGTATTTCTCTGAAAGTATTGTTCCTAAACAAAGTCTCACTGGCTTATGATAATTATAAATTTTAACCAAAATAAAATCTATTTCACTTAAAAATCTACGGAGTGCTGATGAGCATCTTTGCACACTAATACTTTACACAGCTTCTGTTGCTGTTGTTAACCATAGAGTCAGAACCGACCCATACATAGCTGACCCTCTAGTGGGTTTTCTGAGGCACTTTAATCACATGGGAGGAGATTGCCCATCCTCTCACAGAACAGCTAATGGATTCGAATCGCATGCCTTTGGGATTGCAGCACAGTTTCTTGCCACTGGGATACCAGAGCTCCTTCTAGTGGTGGCAAGGAAAAAAAAAAAAAGCAAATTTACTAATAGACACAAAGGTACACAGGGCTGTTTCATATAAGAAGCAAAAGTATAAACACTTAAAATTACACTTCTCTCTTTCATTGGCATCAAACTAGGACCAACTCATAGCTCACCCACCAGTGGGTTTCCAAGGCTATAAATCACACAGGAGGATATTGTCTTTCTCCCGTGGAGCGGCTGGTGGCTTCAAACTGCCATAGATGCACAGCCTTTTCATTACTAGTACAACTCTCTAGAGACTACATCAGTAGAACTCCTTAAAACTACACTTAGTAACTATCTTAAAATTTATATAAACCCACTACACTGAATTGCTGTGAGTCATAGTTGACTTGATGGCACCTAACAATAAAAACAAAGACAAATCAATGAGTCAATTCTGATGTATAGTGACTTGCCCCCCAAGGCTGTATGTAAATGATATCTTTATGGGAGGAGATTTCCAATCTTTCTCCTGAAGATGGATTCAAACTGCTGACCTTTTGGTTAGTAGGGCAATAGGCAAACTATATCACTAGGACTCCTTCAGAATTTGTTCATATCTGAAATTCAAAAAATATGCTCCCATAATCTTCCCAGGATCTTCAGCTTGGATGACCGCTAAATTTCTTCACAGATTGAAATTGTTGAAATCTCTTGTGTATAAAACATTGTTTGTGGCCTAGGGATATGAAAGGTCTCCCATGAGCCCCTGAGGTGCCTCTGGGGGCCAGGGCTGGAGGGCTGCTGATCAGGTTCAGAAAAAGCTTCTAAAAAAGATCCTTCACTTTAACTACCAAGCCTCTGCTGTCCTGCAGGTTCCCCACGTCCCTCATAACCCTTTGCCTAATTCACACAGCTTCTGAAGTTTTCCTGTTACTGTTTAACTCAGCAGATAGCAAAGTAATTTTTTTTAAGTGTTTTGAAATTTGTACTTCTTTATGGACACTATTTAGCAGTGCTCCTGGATAGATTTCCTTAAAATAAAAAGTTCCAGGTTTTGCTGTCAGGAAATTTCTTCTCAAGTTTAGCATCAATTTCATAATATTTTTGCAAATAAAACAATGTTTCTGGATTAGGCTGGACTAGGGAGGTAGCATATCTTGAACATTTTGGCACAGTATACGGAATATAATCTTAAATGCTAATATAACCGTAGTTTTACATAAGTAACAAGTGCATGCCATGCATTTGTTTGGCAACTGTACTCTTCCAATTCTATCTTGGGGGTTTATGACAAGTTGCTGTTAATTTACATAGATTTGACTATGACTCAGTGACCCTATGAACAATGGATCTGAACCCTACCCTGTACTATTCTGACCAGTGGTTCTTGGTCATATGGAAGTTCAAGATGGATTTAGAAGAAGGCATGGCACCAGGAACATTATTACTGATGCCAGATGGATCCTAGCTGAAATCAGAGAATACCAGAAGAATGCCTACGTGTGTTTTATTGACTGTGTGTAACAAATTACGGCTAACATTGAGAAGAATTGTGTTTGTGTGAAACCTATACCTAGACAAAGAGGCTGTTGTGAAAACAAAGCAAGGGAATGGTGTATGGTTTAAAAAACTACAGTAATTACTATTATTTATTGAGTACGTCTACTAGTTGAAGTGTGTTTTATTGTTCACGAGGGTCTTAAGAACAAGCTTGAGGCCTTGAACACTAATGAATCAAGACCAGATGAGCTGTGGGAGGATATGAAAAATATCATCCAGGAAGAATGAAAAGACAGAGGAGGAAGAAAAGATTGAGATGGACGTCAGAAGGGACTCTGAATATTACACTAGAATGCTGAGAAACCAAAGTGAAGAGAAGAAATCAGGAAGGTAAGGAATTGAACAGATTTCAAAGAGCAACTCAGGAAGACAAAGCAAAATTTCACAATTAAATGTACAAAGTGCTGGAGTCGGAAAATCAAAAAGGATTAATTCACTCAGCATTTCTTAAGCTGAAGGAACTGAAGAACAAATTCAAACCTGGAATGACAATTCTTAACAATGCTATGGACAGAACATTGAATGATCCAGGAAGCATCAAAAGAAGATGGAAGGAGTACACAGAATCACTACATCAGAAAGAATTGGGT